TTAATTATTATAATTAAATTATTATTAATTAATTTATATAATATATTTTTATAATTTATATAATTAATTATTATTATAAATTATTATTAATTAATAATATTAATAATTAACTTTAATATTACACAAAATAATGTAATTTTGTAAGTAATATACAATGAACAAATAACATGAAATACTCACCCAGTAGGGCTAGCACGAAAGAGCACGACTTGAGCGAGAGCGACATAAAGCGCGACATACCGCTATCCTCGCATAGAGATCTCACGCTGTATATCGCTGTCGCGCAAGTCGCGTCCCGTCGTGCTAGCCCTACAAGTTTCAATTTCATTTCATGAATTTTTCCGGAACACGACCGGTCGCGCGCAGAATCTGAGACTGCAATCACAAATAAAGATATATGTACGCTTGCGACGAATGTCACATGGCTACTAAGGGGAAGTCCCTCACTCCCTCGAGGATATCACGGTCACGCAACCGTTGATCGTTTGTAGATTTTGTAAAATGACTAAAATAAGATTGCTGCGGTCTCTGAGACCGGGCGCGATAGCTATTTTTTGTGAAATTACTTCACTACCTTTACTAGCTGTAGAGCTCCTTGTGAAAGAGTTCGTCCAAGGAAGTACTACCACCTTACCTATTTCTGCCGCCAAGCAGTAATGTGAGCATCATTGCGCTCTGATGTTGTAGGGTACCTAAGGATGCCAGTGAAATTACAGGCACAAGTAGATATGAGCGCCGATAATACACCAACTGGCTGCGGCGCGCTGACGAAAATGTGTCGGCGGCCGCGGCGTTTCGGCGGCGCAAGCTCGACCATGACACGTATTTGTATTTTTGTGTTTGTTTTTACAAAAACCATTATACAAATACTTTTTCAAAGAAAAAAAATAAAATAACGTATTTTCTATAGCAATTAAAATTTTATCAGTTCGATCAGGCGCTCCGATCGTACGCACGCGCAATGCGGTCGATCGGAGCGTCTGATCGAACTGAACTGAACGGCGCGGCACTCATATGGCACAAGGGATTTGTCAACTAATGTCTCAGGGTGACGGGCGCAGTGGCAATGACCCTCAATCTTTTCGATTTAAAGCTCTCAGCGGCACTGCAACATTACGGACGGCCGTGTCACTTAGAACCAGGCCCACGACTTGTTTGTCCCGTTATTTTGTATCATAAAAAAACATTATTATTATTATTATTATTATTATTATTATTATCATTATCATTATCATCATTATTGTCACCATTTTATTTTTTATCATCATTATTATCATTCTCTATTGTCATCAATATTATCATCATTGTCATTGTCATTGCCATTGTCATTGTCATTACCATTATCATTATTATTATCATAATAACAATTAGAATAATAATTATTATTATTTTTATTTTTATTAATTATTGCAGTTGTCGTTGTCGTTGTCGTTGTCGTTGTTGTTATTATTAGTATTATTATTATTATTGATACAAAGACGGAACAAACAGAAAC